TCTCTTGCCCACTCAAATGGCCATTCCATTCAGAACTTTTAGCAAACAGTTGTTGTGCATCACAAAAGTTCACACGATCAATTAAGTAACGAATTACAGAGGCTTGAAAGTGATAATAAAAAAACAATGATTTTGTTCAAAACACAATAAACTTAATTGTGAAACGATATAACGAAGCAAATCGAAACTAAAAGTTTAAATCCAATAGTTACCAATTTCAGGGTTGAATCTTAGCGACCCACCTCACACTCTGGCATACGCGGTGTATCGAATTTCAAGATGAATTTCGTGGATGAAGGGTCTCTGCCGAGAAGAGATGTTGAGAGCGGCTCAATCGTCGGCCGGAAGAAGAGAGGAGACGGGAAGAGAGGGAGAAAGGTTCAGAGGGATGAACGCAGGAACATTAAATATTTTATGATAATTATTGCTTGTAATTATTTTTAGTGATTAATTATTAGTTTATAATTAACTTTTAGTTTTAGGGGTTTTTATGTAATTTAATTTATAGGGTAGGCATCGTACATCTTTTACTGGGTACGTACTAATCCTACTTGTCATATTCTTATTGGCTGATTACGGTCCGAGAAGTACAACCCTCTCGGACCCTAGACAACCCCAACTTACTTAGATTCAAAGTGGAGCAATTATAGATCCAAATTTTAATGGTTCGGTTTCGATTTCAATTTCGGTTTTAGATTCGGGTTTCGTTTTTCGATTACGGTTCTGGTTTCGGTTTTGGTTTCCGATTTCGGTTTCCGGCTTCAGTTTTAGTTTCGGTTCCGGTTCGGTTTCGATTTCGAGTTCGATTTCGGTTTTGATTTCGGTTTCGGTTTCAGTTTTCGTTTCTATTTCGGTTGCAGTTTCGGTTTGGTTGCTGTTTCGATTTCGTTTCCGATTGCGGTTTCAATTTCGGTTCTGATTGCGGTTTCAATTTCAGTTTCAATTCCGATTTTAGTATCGTAAACCCGCAAATATAGCGGTATATCGCGACATTTATTGCACTCTTTGTAATAGGTATAGTGTATAAACTTGATTTTTTAAATCGTCAAAATAGAATCGGTCGAATATTTTATTTTAGGGTAAATTACGAAAACCCCCTGAACTTAGACAAAATAACGAAAAACACTCCCACCTATTCGTAATTACCAAAAATCCGTGAGATTTTTTTTCGACTTAAACCAACCCCAGTGTGATTTTACACATTTTTCTTTATTCCAATGAATAGATTGTACACATTTTTTGATAAAAAAACTCGATTAAAAATTAATGAGGGAGATTTTAATTATTACGGATAGGTGCGGGTATTTTTTATTATTTAGCCTATGTTAAAATCAAAATGAAATATCCTAAAAACATATGTACGTATGTACTTTCGTTTGGAAGATATTTGAAGCACTGTAATAAAAAAAAATAGTAAAAAAATGGGACTCAATCACATGGGTGTTGGTGCCATGGACCCCACAAAGCCCAATCAAAACAGTAGATAAAATAAGTGGGGCCCACATGCATCGTCAGCCCCCCATGTGATGGTGTGTGACACTTCTTTTCTCCTTCCACCGCAGGCAGGAAAAAGGACAGGGCCCACCTCACTTTATTATTTTTTATTATTTCATTTATTTATTTATTTTATTATTATTTATTAATTATTTATCATAAAAGATGCTGGAGCTAAGTGACAAAAATTATATACAAAATAAAATCTATATTATAACCATTTTGTCAGTCCATAATTAACGCTTAGATAGCAACACCAAATAGTACCAATCACCCACATTTATTTAATATATTATATATTAGCTATCATTTTGGGGAGGAATAATAATTGTTTAAAAAATATTATTAGTTTTCAAGAATTGTAATTGTGGATTCAAATTAGGGTAAATTACAATCACCCATGAGGTATGGTCAAATTATGAAAATACTCCTAATGTTTGGGTAGTTACAACCACCCATCAACTATAAATCATCTTACACGTCCACTCTTGTGGTGTCAAATTTAGTGGAATCTTCTAGATTATATGGAATATTCTCAATTTTGTATCCATTTTATCCTATTCGAGCTCCACATTTTGAAGCAAAATGATCATAAGATGTGTTTTTTGGCTTATATATATTAGACTGTGGTGCATCAAAAGTTGTATGTTTGCACAAAACGAGTACACATTAGAGAACATTCCATGTAATGTAGAATATTATGTTGAATTTGATACCATAAGGGTGGACGTGTACGAAGATTCAAAGTTAAGGGATAGTTGCAATTATTCAAACATGAAAGGATATTTTCGTAATTTGATCATACATTCACTGAACACACATACACATGATGTGTGTGTTATTATTATGAGCAATGGTTCCAGATCACTCCGATTATTTCACCGATTGCATCACAAAACCAAATAAAATCATTTGAATCTTTTTTTCTTGATTATTATCCTTAAATTCAAAGTCTTATATATAAACACTTCATTTATTTTTTATATTTAAAAAGATATACTTTGAAATATCTAAATACTTGTTATTTAAAACAAAAAAAATTTAATAATCTTCTACTTCGTCAAATGAGAGAGAAAGAGATAGAGAGAGAGGACAAATGTGTAATTCCATATTTTTCATTTCATTTCTACTAATTTACTTTGTATTATTAGTACATAAAATTACAATAATGCCCTGGCAAAAAGAACTGCCTTTTTTTACTTTTGTACCTAATAAATTACTCTTAATAAAACTCCAAAGCCATCAAAAGGGCATGGTAATAAAAAAGAAAATTACAGCCCCACGACGACGTTTTGACTTTTGACATTTTGACTTTTTTTGACTTTTTACTATTGACTATACTCTGCCTTTTTTACCTGTGTCACAGTAAATTTCAACTACAGGTGTCAAAGGTGTCACTAAAAGTGAAAATTACAATACAATAATTATATTAGAGAGAGTAAAAATCTCATTTTTTTACCGCCATTTTTTTTTATGTATGCATCTTGTATGGTAGTAATTAAGTAGTATATATAGTATTGGTTACTAATACAGGTGGTGGTGCTAGTGGTGGTTGTGGCCCCGGTGGTGGTGGTGGTGGCGGTGGGTCCGGCGGTGGTTCTGTACGTGTATATATCAATCTCCGGCCTAATAAAATTGACATGCACAATGCCAAACTCAATAAATGAGTAACCACCAACTTCAATTATAGAAGCAAGTACCAATAAAAAAAAAAATATATATATATATATATATATATATATATATATATATATATATATATATATATATATATATATATATATAGGTAAAAAAATTCAATAAATTTGAATTTTTTTTTTTCAAAAAATATATATATAGGAATAAATTTGAATTTAAGTTGGTGAAATTTACCTTTCACTAATTAAAGGTGGTACGAAAGGCCGACAAGGTTCTTAAACCCTAAATTCCGATGGTCTCGTGACCGGAAGCAAACCTATATATATAATTTATAATATATATATATCGTATTAATTAGTCATGTATGCATTTTTGGTTACGATAATAATTGCGTGCTATCAAAAATTAAATAACAATAATAATTGAAATTGATGATCGATAAGAATATATTATATACCTAGGCACTTGAAAGTAGCACGACTTGAAAGGAGCAATATTATCTAAGCCGGTGATCAAATTATTGTTGTTAGCCGATTGTGATGAAATGACACTATTGCCCTTCTCCGCCCCGAAGGTGTCGTTAGAAAAGGCGGCCTTGGGAGAAGCAAAGGGACTATCGGGGAGGTTGTGCTCCAAGCTACATTTCAAATGAATACCGAAAACTTCAACTAATTTATTTTTTATTTACAATAAAATATAAAACATAAAAAAAAAAAAAAAAAATCGTTATACCTTTCGTGTAAATCGCCGTCTTTTTTAGGGCTGTCCTTGCCATTGTTACTCTCATCCTTCACAAAAAAATCTTCGTCTTTCTCCAATGAATTTCCGACGACCCCATTTTCTGCAATAACACGAACATTTTTTTCCTAAATTACAATTTTCTTGAACATACCTAAAAAAAATTGAAATTGAACCAAAAAATTGTATTAAATTAATAAAAAGTTAAGGGACAAACCCTTGGTTTCCGGGCTGCTGAGATTGCTAGATATAGCCACATTTTGATTGTAAAAAGTTGGAGAATAAATCGGAGAAGAAACAATAGCATCGGTGGAAAGTGCACGGTGGTGATTATTTCTCTTCACGTCAAGAAGTTGAAGTCCGATAAGTCTCCGATTTTGAATTTCAATTGCTTGTTGAAGATCCGCTTGCTCTTCCAATTTTCTCCTCCATAGTATATCTTGAGTGTTGTAGAACATTCTTGCACCTATACCGTAAAATTTTCTCGATAATTGATGTAATAATACTAATAATAATATATATATTTTAAAAAAAATTAAGTAAATATATTACCAAGTGGAAGATCAAAAGGGTCTCTTGATTCTAGTCCGGTAGGGCTACCGCAGCCATTGAATTCGCCTCGTTCCATTTGTTGTCGCCTGCGAGTTAATTTTAACCGTTGATTAATTACCGAATTATTCAAGAATATTTTTAAAACCAAAAAAAAAAAAAAAAAAACAACATGATTAATTAAAAACCTATGCTTTTCTGGGATTTTGCCCTTTTCTTTGTAGGGTTTGACGAGTACACGAGCGTCGCAAACGAAATGTGGATTGCCCTTTGCGAGAATTAATTTCACCGTGTCCGGATAATCGAACGTGACGAAACCGAACATCCTCTTTTGCTGATACGGGATTCGAACATCTTGAACCGGGCCATAGTTACTTTTACAATTAACAAAACGAAACGAAAAATGTAAATTAGTTAATCAAGAAAATTCAAGAATCTTGAAATTGAATTCGATTTTTTACGGAAAAAAATAAAATTAAAAAATGCACCTAAAATAATTGGAAACATCTTCTTCCTTGAAAGTACTATCGGCAGGGAATGTCAAGTAAATCTGCCTAGAACCCGGGTTCACACCGTTTAACCCGATTCGACTGAATTTATGCATTGCATCACTCATCATCAAAGCTCTATAAATAGTAAACACATTTGTAATAACAAATTAGTTGCATTAAAAAAAATAATTAAAAATAATAATAAATTAAAATAAAATTCAAGAATTTGTTCATATATATATATATATATATATATATATATATATATATATATATATATATATATATATATATATATATATATATATATACATAGGGATATGTATGTGATACTTGCTGTTGTTGTTGCAGAAGAAAATTCATGCATTTGTTGGAGTAAGGGAAGTTCGTAGTCGAACCCATCATATCGAACTTACTCGGAGATCCCACCGCCGCAGCGCCGCCGTCAGGGGAGGCGGCGCCGCCGTCACCGTGGACGAATCGGCAGCCGGAGCCGTTCTTGCAGTACCCTCTAGCGTAGAACAAGCAGGGTTTCCACCCGAACCCACCGTTCAAAAGATCGTCGGAGCCCATGCAGACATCGCTCACTGAGCAGCTCCTGCGGTGGTGGTGCAGGCCGCCGCCGCCGTCGGCGGCGGCGGCGGGGTAGAAAAAATCGGAGCTTTTTTGCGGGCCGTCGTTGAGGAAAGAGAGCTGATCTTGAAGGTGGAGCTCGTCGATTAAGTCAACCTCGCCGTTACCGTAGAAAGGCGCTGCGGCGGAGTTCATCGTCGACGGCGAGCCGCCGCCATTGTGGTTGTTGTACCCGCCGGGACTGATTAACTCATCCGAGTTCGGAAAATCAGAGAAGCTGCTGGAATTCGTCCAGGAAGAAGACGAAGACTGGTTGACACTGAGCGGAGAAGGGAGATTCACTCCGCCGCCGCCGCCGCCGAACAGGCGGGAAGAGTTGTTGTTGCAGAACAGCGGGGAAGGAGAGGGCGGAGTGGAGGAGGGGGTTAAGGGCATGTTTGGGGAAGCCAAACCCAGCTCCTTCTTGGCTTTGAGAATGACAGCGTGGACGAGAGATTCAGGGCCGAAAGCCAAACGGATCATTTCTTTCTCGCCGTGGTCTTGAATTAGAAGAACTCCCATTATTTTGGAAGCGCTTTGTGGATCCAGAGTTTGGATCCTCTGGTAAACAATCTTTGTTGCTTCGTATGCATCCATGGCAGCAAGATTCTCTCTCTCTCTCTCTCTCTCTCTCTCTCTCTCTCACACACACACACACACACACACACACACACACACACACACCCCTAGTTCACTAAAGCAGCAAAAATGGGGGAAAAATGGCAAAAGGGATTTTTTCTTCAAAAGGAAACAAAACTAAAAAACTAATCTTTTTTCTTTCTATGTTTTCCCCACACACACACAAAACACCTACTGAAGGTGTAATAAAAGTAGTAGTTTTTATGAATTTTAACTATGAAAGAACTCTGAATCTTTCATCTTACATCTTCTAAAACAAGTGAAGAAAGAGAGATACTAAAAAAAAACAGAGCCCCTTTCAAAAATTTGTCAACACACACACTCTCTCTCTCTTTCTCTCTCCTCACTTTCTCTCTCTAGTTCTTGATTATTATTATTATTAAGAAAATGGAAAAGCGAAAGCAGGAGCTTATTCCAATTATGCATAAATCTGCCAGCACTGCAAGTATTATTTTAGCAGCAGTAATTTTTGACAGTAACAGCACCAGAGATATAATATGGACTATGGAGCAAAGGGACCATTAAAATTCAATTGCTCTGCAACTAGCGGATTCAACACTGTATATATAACTTTAATTTTTTTATTTATTTTTTTAATTGAAATAAATAAAAAATAAAAAAAAAAGAAAAAGAAACTGGAAAAAGTGGGAGTGTGAAGTTGATGAAAGCTGTCTGAGTGAGATTTATATATAAATATATATTCTGACAGTGTTCCACTAACTCTCATCTTGATCCCACTTATTTCACTATGAATTTAAATTATTTACATTATTTATTTATTTTTTTATTTTATTTTTTAATTTGATGATGTATAGTTGGTGGTAGCTTTCTTGATCATAAAATTTTCAAAAGAAGGCTATAATTATTAACTAATGTATATTTGCTAGCTTTTTAATCATAAGATTTTATATGGTCCACTTCCATTTGGTTTTGATCAAGATTTGAAGTATTTTGGGGAAAAAAAAAAAGTTTGAAAAAATAATTAACAATTAATAACTAATACCAGTTAAAACATGATTTAAGACAAATATTGATGTGTTTCTTAACAAAAGAAATATGCCAAATTACGAGTATCTTCCACAAATACACTAAAAGATCGCTCGATTCTTCACATCGATCGGATAGCTTCAATCACATGTAAATGGGTCCTCCCTCCAGTATAAATCGACGACTAAGCCTAAACTGAGG